AATCAAATCAACCTTACCAATGGTTGAAGTGGGAATCAAAGGCTGTGTGTGTGGGGGGGGCAGGGGGGAGGCACCTAATCTGATTCATGCTAGGTGGATGCAGAGCCCAGGAGATCCCAGAGGGTGGCCCTCACTATTTCCTCCCTGGGGTAGAAGACCAGCAGCACCTCCTATTCACCAAAAGGCCACTGTAGGGGTGCTACCAAGCAGGTGGCAGATTTGGGCTCCAAGCATGGGCGTAGCCAAGGGGGGGCAGCTGCCCCACCCGATCACGTAAAACAATAGAAATACTTAACTAACAAATCACGTCGGTTCTGCCACCCCAACAAAGTCCTCTCCCCCCACAAAGTCTTGCCCCCACTAACAAAAACCCTGGCTACACCCATGGCTCCAAGGAGCACATTGCTACAACTATGGCAGCAGCAACTGTGTTCTTGGGAGCTGAGATCTGCTGCCCCTGTGGATTCTGCTGCCTGAGGCTGTCACATCCCTTTGCCTCACGGCCCAGTACTAGAACTTCAGATGAACTAAGTACATGGGTTGGCGGCTGGTTCATGACTGGCAAAATAAAGTATTTTACAGAACATAAACAAACAATAGAATTTACTGCCATGACATGTTGTGACTAACACAGTTTAGCGCATTCTCTATAACCTCACAAACCGTTGCCATAGAGACAAACAATGTCATACAAGAACACAGAAAGGGTCTCAGGTGCTAGATATTATTGATAGAAAAGTAAGCAGTGGGAGCTGGTGGACTCAAGAAACCAGGATTCTATTTTCATGCTGGGCCTTGTCTCCTTGGTGGGGTGCGGACTGTGCTGTGGAAGATCTCACAGATTAGAAGCTGAAATGGTTTTCATTGTTGTGTTCCATAGCATACCTATTTCTGCTTTTAAAACTATGTAGGTGGGGGAATGCACACAACCACACACACACACACACACACACACACACACTGTGTCAAAGTATCCTACAGTAACAATGAAGTGTCTTATGTGCTTCTTTTTCTGTATTTTGCCAGAAAATAATAATCCCTTGCCATCTTGTAGACTGAAATAAAGTTGGGATATTTGGAGGAATAGAGCCACTCAAAATTAAGTTAATTTCAATTTAAGAATTAATTATTAAAATAATAATAATAGTGAAATACAGTGGTACCTTGGTTTGCAACCATTTTGGATTACAACCGTTTTGGATTACAACCACATCAAACTTGGAAGTGCGTGTCCCTTTGTTTTGGATCACAACCCATTTTTTTTTATTACAACCCTTTTTTTTTTGGAGGCCCCATTGGCGAAAGCGCGCCTAGGGTGACAACCTGTTTTGGTTTACAACCAAAGGTACCACTGTATTCCATTTTCACCAAAGCTAACTTAGGGGTTGGGATTCACTTTGAAGAATAGACTTCCTAAAGACAAATTTCAGCATAACCCCTAATGATAACAAATTGAACATGGGTTACATCCAAATCTGTCAAATCTCAATTAATTTGTTTTGCTGAGAACGTACTCTTGCCTTCTCTAATGCTAGTGGTACAGTTTTATGTTATTAAAATGCCTTGGATTTTAATCTAAAGTACTTCCCTGGGTTTTCATTCCTTACATGGCTTCTTTCCACAAATAATGTGCGCAAGTCAATAATACTAATAGTTTATGACATTTGATTTTTCCAAAGAGGGTCATCAGCTTTCTCTCTAGAGACTTTCAGATTCATTATGTTTCAAACTGTGAAAACATCCTTGATTTTGTCAGCAGGAATATCTTTTTGAAAGGTTAAGCAGGACTGACAAAGATAGTAGAACAGAGGGATAAAGAGTAGAGTAAGTGCAGATTGTAGTAAGCACAAACCACTATCCATCTGCTGATTTTTTTAAACAATGAAATGAACAACATTTTGTTCTCATGCCAGTCTGAAGCCCTTGCAACTAGTAATTTCTGTGAAGTTGCATATTTATTGCAAGAGTACAAATAAAGTGGGATGTATGGGAATTGTAGTCTAACAACATCTGGGGAGTTAAGGTTGAGTAACTTGTTTTATTTTTAGAAATAAAAGACTCAGACTGCACGGTTTACACAAGCCCAATTTTGGTGTTTCTATACAAATAATTTAGAAACATTTCCTACTTTGGAATTATAAGTTTTATTGTCTGTGTTTTCTTACTGCTGTATGGAAAAGCACATGAATTTTACCTCTGAAGAATTTGTAAGTAAAACATGTGGTTTCTCTTTTTATGCTAAGGGAAGAGGAAAACTTGGCAGCAACTTGGAAGGGAATGCTTTCAAGCCTATATTTCCACATTTACTTTGCTGCATATTTTGTGATTTTAAATCTTTGCTAGGGTTCTCTCACCAAAGAGTACTTGCCACATAGGAAAATAGGGATGCCACATAATTCTATAAAAATAATCAACAGCTAATCTGTGCAGGAAAGTGGGGATGGATTAGGACAGCAGAGAATTCCAGCAAGTTACACAGAAACAATAATTCTTGACTGGTTCTCCTTCTCTCCCCCACTCAGAAAATTAGCTTTCCATTTTGCACACATGAAATTAGCATAGTGTCTTTACTTTCACCTGGGAGTCTTCAGGAAAGTCAGAGGAGCTGATGAGTGTGGATTTCAGTACCGAACACTGAGAAAGGGGAAAGCTTTACAAGCTCTGCAAACTCCCCACTGCTTGTCATGTTGAGGCAGAATGCCTCAGTGAAGACTGAATATGAGGTTTTCGCTGAAAGGTATAGAAGCCAACTCCTAGGGCCCCATAAAATATATGAGGGGGCCAGGCTCCCCCAAAGTTGATGGGCATTGCTATTTCAAATAGTGCGCATGCATTTTTCTCCTTATCTCAGTCAGGAATTGGTGGGGAATGACCAGGTTTCCTTTTGACGCAAGTCTTTTACTGGCTCCCTTGTTTGCCTCCCATATGAAACGCTTGGCTTGAAGCATTCTCCTGAACTTGATGTTCAGGTGGGAGGTCAGGTTTATGGATCTTTAATGTCAGGCACTTCCAGCGCTTGGTCCTCCCCTCCCTGCTGTGCTTGCATATAGCCTAGTTCCTTATCACTCTTGATCATTCATTTGCCTTACTGAAATTTGTACAGTATAATAGGCAATTGAATAAAATTGGTATGGAGATTCCTAGGAAGAAACTACTTCTAGATGATTAGCATTTAAATAGGACACATAGCCATTAAGGGCTGTATTATAGTCACTAAATCAGCATTCAGCTTGAGCAAGACAAATTTGAATACAATATTATTATAGCTCATAATTACAGATATTTAAGTGCAGTAACATAGATTAGCTACATGAAACCAGGCTTGAAATAACAAGGTTTCATCAGGTCATATTCAAGTCATAGTATAGTTTTATGGCTGATATTTGAAAGAGGGATGGACATTTCCTTATTTGAATTCCCTTTTTCAAATAAGGAAATCTCCATCCCTCTTTCAAACATTTGAAATAGGGATGGACATTTCCAGAGGGTGATGCTTGGGGAGTGTTCTTTGGCCCCGTGGAGCCTTCAGTGTGGGATTCCTTAGGCTTCAGTTGTATCCCCTATGCTATTTAACATCTACATGAAACCACTGATTCAGATTATCCAGAGGTTTGGAGTACTGGTATGTTGTCAGCAATATGCTGATGACACACAGCTCTACTTCTCCTTTACATCTGGAGGTGTGGCAGTGTATGTGCTGTTATGTATTTTGTGGGGTTTTTTTAAAAAAACTTTTGATATTTTAATGTTGTGAAGTGTTGAGATCTATGGATGGAGGGTGTTATACAAATTTAATAATAATAAAGAAAAATTAATAGCACACTATCTAGGCATTATACTTCCCCCCTTACATTCCCTCTATATATTTAATGTACTTGCCCTATTAGGAGTTTTAACAGTACTGGATACCCTGCTGTTTTATTGATGTTTTATCTGGATTTTATCTGCTGGTCTTACAGCTTTTATCTGCTGCTTGTATGATCTTTTTATACTGTAGTTTTCTGTTGTTATATTTCTGCTTTTTAGCTGTATTCACCTTGAAGCCACTTGGCAATAATGTAAGATATAATATACTAATGAAACTATATACTTCCATTCAAAAAATAATGCTATTTTTGTGACATAACTTTTGTTACCTTGCAGGTACTTATTTGAATCCCTCAGAAAGAAATCCTTTAACTTTTCCAAAATGGGATTCAGGCAGGAAATCAAAGAGTTCTATTATTTCCAAAGCTATGCTTAAATCTCCTCCGAAGACACAGTCCAGTGTATACAGCCACAAAGTTGCAGAAACTTTGCTTGATCTTTGGTCATTGGGCCCAGAAGAGTTTATCACTACCAACAGACAAAATACCAAACCAGATTTTGTTTGCTGTCAGACTGAAGCCTCTGTTGAAACCCTCTACCAATCTCCAACTTTTCAAACATTTGATTCTTTGGGAAACAGCATAACGAAAACCACAACTCCAGCTTCTTCTCAGCAACTATTTGAACCTAGTGAATCTAGCCTGAAAAATTTCTGCTTCTTCAGGGCAAGCACAGTACAGCCAGCCAGCTTAGGCAGCCAACCAACCCCAAGGCCAGGTGAGCTTGTGGCTTCCATGTCCATCATAGAAACATGCCTGTTGCTTCACCATCCAAATTCTTTTTCCATAGCTTTTGCAAAACTGTACTACTTTTGTGAATAATAAATACCCAGGGGGTTGGGTTCCACTGATTCTAGATGTTAAGACACTGTTAGTGAATGTCTATAATGCTAGTAATTGCTTTTATAGCATTCTCTTTACACAGCAGATAAAACTCTTATTATATTTAAAAGGGGCATCAAGTGGACATTATTTTGAAGTGGTCATGGCTGCATACATATTACTGTCTAATCCGGGCCCAGTGCACTACCACGAAGGCCAGCCTAATGCATTTTGGCGCCTGAGGTGCACCACAAAATTGCGCTCTCTAACCCGCCCCAGGAAGAAGGGATGAGTGAAGATTTACATCAAGAACAACAGGGGGATAAAGATCTAGATTGGGAGCAAGAGGAGGTGGGGAATCAAACCAACCTTACCTGATGGTTGAAGTGGGAATCAAAGGCTGTCACAATAGAAGGGGTTTCCTCCCTAGGGCTGGGAGGAGACCAGCAAGTCCTCCTGTTTGCCAAGAGGCCACTGTAGAGGTGTGCTCTGGTCTCCAAAGATTGCACCACAGGATTCCACTTCTTGGAGGTGAGATCTGCTGCCCCTGTGGATCCTGTCTCACTTTGCCCCGTGGGTGAGCCAACCCTGACTACCACCAGTGGTGTCTGAAGCTGAATACCCATGCTATTAGCCACAATCTATATGTAGGCTTTGGTTTCTTGAGAAATTTGGCTGTTTGATGCCTTTGGTTGAGTACAACAGCACCCCCTCTTTGCTGTGTACAGCATTGTAAAAATGAGACTTGAAATGCAGTGGAGAAAACGACCTTGCTGCATTTTAAGCTGCTAATGTGTACAAAGCCTTAGTGGCACCTTTCTGAAGCTTCATAGTAAATATTAAATAACAGAAGCCAAGGTGAAACTTAATGAGTTTAGTGCTGTTGTAAGAACTTGTATAACTAGTCCATTCCCGCATACTGAATTCAAACAGGTCAAGGATAGCTGGCTTGCAAGATGATGGACAAATTTTGGGCCAATGCATGAAATGTGCATATGCATTTAACATGTCTTGTTTTTTACTTTGAAAACAGCAGTTGCAGGGTACCCTATCAAGAATGGGAATGCAGCAAAGAGGGAACAGGGCAACATTTTCCACTTGCACTGCTATTTGGGTGAAAATCACCCCTCTAAAACTACCATATTGTCTGATCTGGCCCAACAACTTTCACAGTGATCATGATATGGGAGAAGGGTTTAACATCCCTCCCTCTCTATGGGGTCATGATTTCTCCCTTCCATTATTTTTATATAAAAACAAGGCATGTTAACTGCATGCACAATTATGCCCAAACTATTATTTATTTGAAACTAGTGGTCATCTTTTGCAATACCATATCAATTTCCCCAGTCTTTTAACATGCTGACCTTTATACCATACAATCTTAAAAATTGTGACACATGAACAGATTGTATCCATTTATTTTCTTTGCACGTGAGTAAAATTCTATACAGAAAATGCTACATGTCAGTAATAGTCTGTTCAGATATGTGACAGTTACTGAATATCCCAAAATGAAGAGTCAGAACTAAGGAATTAAAGTTTTCCAGCATTTCCCCGCCACCCTCACTCACTGAAACATTTGGGAGTTCCAGGTGTCAAGCCATGAAAAAAGCTGAATTGTTATGCACAAAGCATTTTGTGTTCATGGGCAGAGCTGGCTCTACCGTTGGGAAGACTGGGGGGGCGCCTTAGGTGGTAATTTTTTGGGGGGGTGAGTAGCAGAGGCAAGGTATTGGATGACAGAATTGTGTGTGCCACATGACCTGCTCTGTTGCCCTCAGATACAGTGGAGTACACTGTCCCATCATCACCAGTGGCTGCATACACACCATACATTTCAAGTACTCCCCATGAATCCTGGGAATTGTAGTTCACCTCTCATAGAGCTACAATTCCTGACATTCTTACAAACTACAGTTTTCAGGATTCTTGGGGTGGGTGGAGGGAATGTGCTTTTAAAGTACAGTGTATGCAGTCAGTGTTGAAGCAAATTTCACCTGCTACCCCTCTTAGCTTCTTTATATGGAACAGGAAGGGGAGGCATTTTGTCCTTCACCTCAGGCAGCAATTTGTATTGGACCAGCACTGTTCTTGAAAATAAAACACAAAATTACTTCTTTAGTGTGAGGGAAAGGACATGAAAGGGATATGAGGAGGAAAGGAATGCTGAGGTTATGGGGAGAAATGAAAAGGGATTGGGGAGAGAGGGGCAGGGGAACACAGGAGGCGGCCAGAGCATACCCAATGCCGTCGCAACAGACCTCTCTACAAACTTCACTGCATTACTGAATCTAGTCTTTCTCTTGCAAATGATCTGGCTTCCCACATCAGTCACATGGAACACCTCTTGTGTCAGTTGCCATAAGTTCCACACTATTGAGCAGACCCTCGCACTGGACACAGTACAAATGCAGTCTGGCTGTGTGGAGTGTTGCCATTCAGGAGCTGTAATATTGCCTGAGGCGAAAGAATAAATGCCCTTCTCTCATTCCATGTATTGATTAGCTGGGGATAAAAGCCCCGATCACTTTAAGGCATATCCATTGCCAGCATTCTGCTGTTTCAGGGGAAGTTCCTAAGACCTGTTCCTTGAACTTGCATATCCAATAATGTAAATGGACAAGCCCCATCTGGATGAACAGCTGATCCAGGTAATAAATAAATAAATCTCACTATCTTAAGCTCCAGATTCCATTGTGTATTGAATGCCATGTTTTGCTTTCAATTTGTTTGTTGTTTCTTTAAACATGGCACATTGTAAGTTAAGATACTTCCATTTATTTTCAGTAAGATGCTAGCACGGTCCAGGGGGTCTTAAAAATGAATATCTACCTTTGGCAAATAATGTATAACATTACGTACTTTTCTTTCATGTACATTTCAGACTCTGCCGGCTCAATGGGAACAACATCCTCCTTTTCCACTTTCTCAATGTCATCCCCTGAGTCAGCCGTTCCAAACAACACCCCACAGCCTCATTGTTTTCCTTCCCGTGGACCTTCTTATTTGCTCACACCACCACCTGGACTGCCTTCTCTTTTCTTTAACGATCTCAAAGAAAGGATTGCAAATTCCTTTTCACCCTGCCAAGTGCCTGATGTATTTGAAAATGCTAACATCTTAAGTCTTCTTCCAGATAATTCAAAATGCCCGGTCAAAAACATTGATAGTTGTAGGCGTAGAACTTGCCGCGCTTATTCTGAGAATTGGGAAGACAATGTGGTGCATGATACACCTCATGCGGCTGCCGCAATTGAGTCTCCTGCTGCTGATCTGCCTGGTACACACTTCCTTTGTACGAACACTGAACAAAAAGCCATGACCCTTTTGGAAGAGATTAAAAACGCCGTTTGTGGACTTAGAGGGGACTTCTGCAGTATGGCAAAGGAGCTGCATACTATCAGTAGTGAGTTGACAAATATGGTGGCTTCCATGCAAAATATGAGCAAAATCTTGGCAGCTCCCCCAGACTGCTGAAGCTGACCCTGGCACTCACAATGGCAACTTAATTAAGGAACCTTGGATCTGTTATGTATCTTGCCTTACTCATCAGCTTTACATAATTCGCTAGATCTCATAGTTTAGAGCTGAAGTAATGTTTTAATTTAAAGAGATGTTTTTATATATGTGCACACACAAATGTGTACCTGTTATTCTTGTTATGAAAAATAAATTGTTGTTTACATCTTTGTATTTTAAATGTGGTTAATATTTTCATTAGTTAAAATTGCAGCTTGATTTATTGAATGTTTGAAACCAACGCATCTGAGTTAAGCACTGAAAGCAAAGCATTAGCCCCAGAAATAAAGAACAGTTAGGTAACTATCTGAAAATGCTGACCATATTTCCTTTTATTCCTCAATGCCTCTGCATACCTAAAATTCCATGCCACCCATGAAACAACATGAAAATGGAGGTCACCAATATTTGCAATAAGTACTCAATAGATCAGTGCACACAGGACCCCTTTGGGCCAAACACAAGTTCATTAAAACTACCTGGCGGCTCTTAAGGCCACAGGATGAAAATACACAAAATGTAACCCATGTTCATTGATTGGAAAGTTCCTGCAATGGGAAACAGTAATGGAAATGCCAATAAGAAAGCCAAACCATCTGATTACAATGAATAGTGTATATGCCATCTGATAAATACCTTATGGGACAATAAGAGACTAGTGACATTTTCCCAGAAGAGATCATTTGGTGTCATAAAGTGAACATGATACTGTTGTGAGGGGTTTGGGGCGGGGTGGTAGGCACTAATGTTTGAGTCCCTTCCAATTCCTGGATCCAGCAGTGATTCACACTGCCAGGCAAGTTTCTTGATAATGGCCTCTGAAGTATGGACCATTAAGGTAACAAAGGAAGTGGCTTTGTGTTTGTTAGTTAGAAAGACAAAGGCCAGAGTTAGAAATTGTGTATGTGCGTGAGCTAGGAATGAGCAACAGATGGAGCAGCTTGAGTAAATGATCCAGCAGCAACTCCATCAAAAGAAGCAGGCAGCAACTGGCTGATTTCTGCTGGGGTCCAAGGCTGTGGCTATGGGAGAAGCAAGACACACTTGAGGTGTTGATGCTGTGAGCACCTCCATCATAGGCTCAGATTGTATATATGTGGAAATAAACCATTCATCCTAAAGACACCACTCAGAGATTGGGATGGTGTGCAACAATGCCTTTGACCCTTCAGATATTGCTGAACTACAACTCCCATCAGCCCCAGAAAACATGACCAATAACGAGGAATGATTGGAGTTGTAGTTCAGCAACATCTGGCGGGCCAAGGTTCTTTGCCCTGCTAGAAAACACAGGCAGGGCTAATCACAGCCTGTCGACTGGAGAGAGGTTGGAGAGAAGACCAGGAACAGGGTGTTCTCTGTGGTAGCCACATTGCAATTTGAATTACACTGCACCCCCCCCATATATGTTGTTCTCTCTGTTGGCTTTCCAGTTGACATTTCCTTGATTTTTATTGTGCTGCGTTTTAATAGTTATTTCAACTGCTGCCTCTATTTTTAATGGTGCTTTACTGTTATTTTAATCACTTGATTTTTTTAAAGCATATTTATTATGTTGTAAATTATTGGGGTGGGCAGATCCCCTGAAAGGTAGGTAACCCCTCCCCCCATTCAATTATTTCGCCTAGCGCCATTCAAAAACTTCTGCTGAGAATCTGAAACCCTGCCAGAGAACAGCATTTAAAAACTTTTCATTTAGCATTTTTCCGATGGTAACGCTATTGCTATTATTATTTACGACAATGTTAGAACTGTTTTGTCGCCTATTAAATGTCAAGATGCTAGCTTGAGCTCCCAACTCTTGGATTTATATTCTATAGCACAGATTTAAAATTGCAGAAGCACCAAAACGTGTTTTTACAAGAAAGCTGCTCCAACATTAAACATGGTATAAAAGCATGCCATTTTTCATTGAGACTTGAAAGCCCAACTCCATTGACAAAATGCTCTCCAAGAAGCAATGCCACATCAGACCCCACCCCACCTGATCATCAATGGAGGATGGTGCTGCTCCGCCAAGCCTGGTCTGACAGGCACCTTACAACCAGACCAATGGCTCTCTTGTTTTCTCTTTCCTCATCTCTATGTTGCCCTTAGAGAACAACTCAGCAGGATTATAGGTTTTTCCCGTGTGGAATCAGAAAGACCAATGCATTGATTGTGATGTATGCTTTTGCAGGCAAGAGCCAACTTGATAAGTTAAAAGAAATAACTTTCATCCTTAAGTTAAAATAAATTGTGTATCTGTGTGTCTGTTTCTCCCAAGAGCTTAAGAAAACAGGTCAGGGCTATAATAATTCCTGAGCACTTGTAGATATATACTGCATATGGGAACAAATTGTGCACTTACTGTACTAAAAAAACCCCAAACCTGTAAAGTTTTGAATGCAACTTTAGGTTTGAAAAAGGATATCCTAAGAAAGAGAACTCCTGAGTCAGCAGATCTGCCTCCAGCGTGTACAACATGGCTTCTCATTAATGTTTTAGAGGCAGTACAAAGTGTGTAATGAATTGTACTAGTAACTGGAAGATATTTGACAATTGCTTGCATGTGTGGTTAATTTACTGACAGAAAGTGAGAAAATCCACAGCTACCCTCTCCCCACATGCTCTAAAGTGTTTATTTGGTGATCTACTTTTGGACTAAGGAGAACAGAAAGCACACAAAGTGGAGCTTTTCCTGGTGTCACAGGGATAATAGAATCCTAGAGTTGGAAGAGACACCAAGGGTCATCTACTTCAACTCTGTGCAATGCAGGATTTTCAACTAAAGCATCCATGTCAGATGGCCATCCAACCTCTGTTTAAAAAGAGAGCTCCTTTGGTATCCTTGGATACAACTCATCAGACCCTGGAGATTTGAATTCATTTAAAGTAGCTAGGTGTTCCCTTAAGACCTCTTTTCCTATCTTGGGCTGCAGCTCCCTCCTTACATCATTTATTCTGTTATCTCCAGGTTGGGCATTGCTTTCCTTTTGGGTGAAGGCAGAGGCAAAATAGGTGTTGAGTAAGGTAAAGGTAATAGGGATGCGGGTGGCGCTGTGGGTAAAAGCCTCAGCGCCTAGGGCTTGCCGATCGAAAGGTCAGCGGTTCGAATCCCCGTGGCGGGGTGCGCTCCCGTTGTTCGGTCCCAGCGCCTGCCAACCTAGCAGTTCGAAAGCACCCTCGGGTGCAAGTAGATAAATAGGGACCGCTTACTAGCGGGAAGGTAAACGGCGTTTCCGTGTGCGGCTCTGGCTCGCCAGAGCAGCGATGTCACGCTGGCCATGTGACCCGGAAGTGTCTTCGGACAGCGCTGGCCCCCGGCCTCTTGAGTGAGATGGGCGCACAACCCTAGAGTCTGTCAAGACTGGCCCGTACGGGCAGGGGTACCTTTACCTTTTTAAGGTAAAGGTAAAGGGACCCCTGACCATTAGGTCCAGTCGTGACCGACTCTGGGGTTGCGGCACTCATCTCGCTTTATTGGCTGAGGGAGCCTGTGTACAGCTTCCGGGTCATGTGGCCAGCAGGACTAAACCACTTCTGGCAAACCAGAGCAGCGCACGGAAACGCTGTTTACCTTCCCATCGGAGCAGTACCTATTTATCTACTTGCACTTTGATGTGCTTTCAAACTGCTAGGTTGGCAGGAGCAGGGACCAAGCAACGGGAGCTCACGCCGTCACGGGGATTTGAACTGTCGACCTTCTGATCGGCAAGTCCTAGGCTCTGTGGTTTAACCCACAGCACCACCCGCGTCCCAGGTGTTGAATAGTTCCACCTTTTCTCTGTCATCCAATAGCATTTCTCCATGTTCCCCATGCAGAGGACCTACTACTTGCTTGTTCTTCCTCTTACTGCGGACATGAAAGGGAGAAGATTATTATGTCTGTCTATCTCTCTACCTATCTTGAACTCACTTGAGCATGCATGTCAAACAACTACCACTTACGTCTTGAGGCAAACAGCTAGATTAATTGAGCTTTGAAAACAGCTCCCTAATGGTGGTTGCCAGAAGCGACCCTGGAAGTGGGGAGAATCCATCAAGAATGCTCAGCAATTTCCCTATAAAGGTAAAGCCATTATAGAAGGGGACATGTGCAGGCTGTGTTATGAAGCAGAATTGTTTGCTCTACTCAATGCAGAGAAAGTAGGCTAAAGGGACAAGAGAGACTACATCCATTTCTACTTCAAAACGGCATTAGTAAACATCTCCTTTTTCTAGAAGCAGGTTGCAGGAATTATCTCTGTAAATTTATTTCAGATATTCCTTAAATACAGAGTGGCTTATAAATTCTCAAGTTGAATAAATAAAAATTGTCAAGGTTATTAGCATTCAGTGCTCACATCCGCAGACTTGTTTTGCATTGCATAATCTAGTGCAAGATTTGGCTTCCTGGGAACCTGATCTTAACCTCATCCACACTGCAAGCTGGTAGACAGCCAAAGGTCTAAGGAAATGTTCCAAAAGATGTTCAGGATTAATTTACATTATCACAGTGCAGTGGCCATGTGTGTTGCTGAGGAAGTAGCAAGTGCTGTACATCACATGTAAAGTGGTAATTTGATTGTTCCTCCGCACACCCTGATTGCTACTCCTCACATTGCTGCACATCCCCAAAACCACATGGTTGCTTGGTGCATCATCATCTTGTCATCGGGTTAAGATGGGGCAGATAATCACCAATTCACGAAGATCCAACACTCAACACTAGCCCACTTGTTCCCAGCCAGAAAGTAAGTTCACTTCCATTTACACCCCAGAGAACAGGATCACACTTCAAAACGACCTTGACAGATTAGAGAACTAGGCCAAAACACACAAGATGAACTTTAACAGGGAGAAATGTAAAGTATTGCACTTGGGCAAAAAAAATGAGAGGCACAAATACAAGATGGGGGACACCTGGCTTGAGAGCAGTACATGTGAAAAGGATCTAGGAGTCTTGGTTGACCACAAACTTGACATGAGCCAACAGTGTGACGCGGCAGCTAAAAAAGCCAATGCAATTCTGGGCTGCATCAATAGGAGTATAGCATCTAGATCAAGGGAAGTAATAGTGCCACTGTATTCTGCTCTGGTCAGACCTCACCTGGAGTACTGTGTCCAGTTCTGGGCACCACAGTTCAAGAAGGAAACTGACAAACTGGAACGTGTCCAGAGGAGGGCAACCAAAATGGTCAACGGCCTGGAAACGATGCCTTATGAGGAACGGCTAAGGGAGCTGGGCATGTTTAGCCTGGAGAAGAGGAGGTTAAGGGGTGATATGATAGCCATGTTCA